ACATTCGTAATGGAACAGATAGCCCTTGGAAGTATAAAAGTATAGCTGAGCTAAGCTGATGTTGCGATAATCCGGTTTGATTGTCGACCTCGTTCAACATGCTTTGGCCGTCCGTATGGGATTGGATCGGCCGCGTGAATGGAAAAAACGTCCGTGGACCAGTTTGCCACATAATGCGATCAGAAACCGTTTCTACATTTCATTTACTTGGTGACAATGAGCAGCGAGCAAGTTTTTTTCTTTCAATCGAATTTTATGTTATTGGCTGCCTCGCCTCGTATGAACGAACACGAGGACATAGTTGCTATTACTCACCTTTCGGCCGTTGCTACTAGGTGGTAAACCGGTCTGTATTGTTGTATTACTCAGATGTTTCGTAATGTTCGTACGAGCCGTGTCGCTTTTCAAGTGAGCCCAGCCTTCGATCTGTTCTATGGTCGTCAGCATTTACAAGTTTTTCGTTCAGAGTTCGGGAATTTCCCGGGTAAATATAGATCCGCTCTGTGATATGCCTGTGAAGAAGTTTTGGCCAACAGACCGATTATGGAGGTGCGATGGGGAACAATGGTCTGTGCGGGTGAGAAAAATGGGCGAAATTAGTGCAATGAGAGCTTCTGGATTGGTAGACACTCCGTCTTGTCAAAGGCGCTCATTGAATAAAGAAGAAGCTAAGTTGAGCCATTTTGGCGTCATTTGCAGACCGCTTTACGTCGCTGCAAAGCCACATCTCGCTTCTTTGGTTGCCAAGGTTTTTACTTAAGAAGCATTTTGCCAATTCAGTCTTTAATAGCTATGAATTAATTCCTCAGTCTTCTCCTGATCATGATATACTGCTAGACCTTGCAGGGTGGACATTCAGCTGCACCTCAATGAGTAGCGCAATTGGCAGTGGACCATTCAGACTTGGAGCTCCGGCACATAGCACATGTGTTTTTCATCGAATTGTAAATCACCGCGGGATTCATGGGATGAAGAATGGTCAGCAAAACATTCAAGTGCCTGGTCTATCCGAGTGCTCAATGGTATTTAAGGTGGAGGCGAGGCGGCGTTTTCATCATACTTTTTGATAGATTTCACCCTACAACCGCATTAGCTCTTACACATTGATAGCCTTTTCCAGTGCATCCTCCCCCTTTCCCTTTCCCTCCTCACCCTCTCCCTCTCTCAAAACTTCTACCTTTCGCCATTGTTCTGAACTCTTAATGGCTATAAGTGAAAGGAAAGTTAGATAGGTATCATGCTTTTTCAATATATGATTTCGGCTGGAAGTGAAGTTCTTCACAGGATTCGTCGTATACACTTTCGTGAGTTTGAGCTGACCTACTGTGCTTTATGAATACCACAGTTTAAATACTTTTCCAAAAAAAAATTCTATTGAAATAGTTTGAGCGCATAGCAGCGAAATTTATGGGCTATGATTGCACAGCCCTGTGTTCATTTTTCGAGAGTTTGCCCAGCAACATTCTTCATCGAAATATCTATCGTTGCTATGAAGCTGCTCAGTGCGTGGCTTTAACCAATAGTTATGAGATGAAAGCACGAAGAAAATCCGTGTTGAAAATGCAGTATTATCTAGCATTGTGCATTTATCGAATTCCGATCGTTCTCACTAGACGCCTTATTATAGAGGAATCAGCTACATCACCTCAGATTCACCTGGGAGAATTGCAACATGGCACGAGGCTTGAGGATTGAATTGAACGCAAACCAAGTTCAAATTCTTAGCCAAATGATTCCACTACTATTTTGTTTGGGAGTTTAGTCAATGGTTGTCAATGCTCAGAAATTAGTCGTTCAAGGACCACTTATCAATCTTAATGACAGTCATATCCTTGGCGCGTCATGGAGAAAAAGTCTGATCAGCACCGAGTATTTTTTCAGGTTCTTGATCAGTTTCAGAGATATTTTTCATATTCCGTTGTTAAGTCGGAAGAAATCTTTTTTTAATTCAGAATTTTTAAAATGCTACTACTTTTCTCTAGAAACCCTGAACACTTATTNCCCTGAACGCTTATTCGTAATTCTTACTGCCTTTCATTCCTTCCTATTGTCCGGTTTTTCAAGAAGAGCGTTCTTTTCATTTAATTACCTAATGAGTTTTAAATTTCATGCCCATCATTTTTCAACTTTTTTTTTGTTCAGACACCTTTTGTTCATTTTTACAAAAGGTCTCTACCGTTCTCGCAGATACATGTGATTCCAGTTAAGAACAAAAAGCAGTGATTTTCAGGGACATTTCAAGTGCAACGACCTAGCTTTTTATTGTGGAAAAATTTGGGCCAATGTGTGACCGATATGTGACAGATGCAGATCTAAAGAGGTGATTCTCACCTTATAAAAAATTAAAGGTGGACCGCCAGTGGTATTCAGAAGACAAATTAGGGATTTTCTATCAAATTCATCTTCTTAAAGGTCGTGAATACTCAAAATCTGTATTTGGAAAATTTTTGGAAATGAAAAAGACTCCAATAAATTGCTGGTTAGAATACTATTCCATGATTAAACGACGGATTGTGCAGTGCGCGGATTCTGTGATACAGTAACAGCGAGGGTAAAAGAAACATTGGGCCATCTAAGAAGAACTGCCAAACAGACAAGCCGTCCTAGCTCTCCTTAAGAGGTATCGCGCAAGCCAAAATAAAGTATGACGGGTCTTTTCGACNGGGATTTTCTATCAAATTCATCTTCTTGAAGGTCGTGAATACTCAAAATCTGTATTTGGAAATGAAAAAGGCTCCAATAAATTTGGTGATTAAAATATTCGAGACGGATTGTGCAGTCCGCGGATTCTGTGATACAGTAACAGTGAGGGTAAAAGAAACATTGGGCCAACTAAGAAGAAGTGCCAAATAGGCAAACCGTCCTAGCTCTCTTTAAGAGGTATCGCGCAAGCCAAAATAAAGTATGACGGGTCTTTTCGACGCATTGCTTCATAGCCAGGTATTTAAGTTGGAGCCCAAGCTCAGGTTACTGTACCGCTAGGTCCGTATACTTTGAAATCTCCTTGCTTTTATGGTTTGGGTGTTCTTTAATCTTGGAAACCATAACCAAGGGAAAATTGCTCGCAGATTGGTGAAGTATTAGAAACGGAGATTCGTCGAAATTGCCGAAAGATTTCTAAAATGGCTGAAAAGCACTTGATGTNGTTGGAGCCCAAGCTCAGGTTACTGTACCGCTAGGTCCGTATACTTTGAAAACTCCTCGCTTTTAAGATTTGGGCGTTCTTCAATAGTGGAAACCATAACCAAGGGAAAATTGCTTGCAGATTGGTGAAGTATTAGAAACGGAGATTCGTCGAAATTGCCGAAAGGTTTCTAAAATGGCTGAAAAGCACTTGATGTATACTGAATCGAACCGTAATTTCACATTTCGGCAAATCCGCAATTTGGCCTTTCATGTCTTCCTCTCTTTTCGGAGGTAATAACTCCACGCCCAAGTTTTCTTGAAACCTGGGCATTTCACATAAGGTTTTATAACGCTCTGCCGGACAGGTTTGTTATGGTCGAATCGTTTTATTGGGATGTTTCGAACAATCGTTGACGTCAAAGTCCGTCAAGGTGACTCTTGACTTGTGGCTTGCTCGATCAAGCGCCTTACCGTGTTAGGTAACCTCCCAGAACGAAGACGAAACGGCAGATCTCAGGTAGGTAACAAACCTTCTGCCGTTCCATTAGCGTTGTCGTCCCACTCGATTACGTGAACAACAAAGAAGTAATTATGTCTTTGGACGTCATCGCTGTCTGGGATTTGTTGTAACTGGCCTAGCACATTTGGGCATTTGGTCGATCGAGCTACAGATCAGGGGCTTCGGATTGCTTTCAAGTCATTGAGTACGACGATTGGTTCGAGACATCGATCAAATGAAGCGGATCAGCCATAACATTTTTCTTGGAGGACTTCACTAGCTGCTGGTTCTTTAGGGCAGCACAAATTACAAAAATAGAATAGCCTACCTTGAAAAAAATCAGAAAAAAGAACGGACCTCATGGCCACCGTTCGGCTCAAGCCTGGCATTGATCCTTGTCCAAGAGCCTTCTTGGGATGAGCATTCTTTTATCGTCTGGTGTTCTAGATCGCCTGCCATCTGATGCCTACGCTTGTGCTGTAAAGATGTTTGATTCACCTCGAATGGTAGGAAGGAAACCTCCAAGCTAGCTGCCATATATCTTGTTAGTCGAGGAGAGTGTGATTTTAGTGATATTTTGGAAGGACACTACCCGGTATAACACCATTTTCTGCCCCTCCTGCTCTTTGGTTCTGGTTCGCACTATATTTTTAAAAGAAAGTGGGAATGTTGATCCCATCTGCAGTCTTCCCAAATCTTCCGAATGAACTGCCGACACATTCCAATATTTCTGCGATTTTCAGCGCAAGGCAAATGCGCTGCGCGATCCGAAAACAGCGCTACCTCGCTAACTTGTTCATGTAATTTTAAGCCTGAGCTCCTTATCTAAGCGTCCAGATCGCAGAATAATTTTATGTTTGAGTGACTTTCTTGTTTAGAACCTTTTTTCGTTTCTCACAATGAAACTCGTTCTCAAAAGTGAGAGATCAGGTCGAAAAAGGGGGCGGGGCTGTCTTGTGCTGCATCTTCCCATCAGAACCTAGCCTATTGTCCTTGCATAAGCACAGGGATCGGTGAGGTTTATGGTCGGGATCCGGGAGGCGATTCAGGCCCCAGTTCTGTTGTTGCTGAAAATTTGCCTTCTAAACTTACTGGTAATCTGTTTTCTCTCATTGAAATCACTGCAACCGATTGTTAGGACGTTAGTGGATAGAATTAATTCCGCCAAAGGGAGTTTCGTTTTGATATCGCCGTGTTTCCTGTAAGATATGATCTGAATTTGCTGTTAACATGAATCACTCGATGTTTTTTCGTTGAACGCCTTTTGTTTTATGTGACTGGCATTAGCCGTCATTGGTTTGTGAGAATTCCGTCCCGTTGTTGTGTATTGTCGTCGTTGAATAGTGGTTAGCATTTTCTCTTTACATTATCGTCAATGCATCATCATCTTTACGTCGATTTCGCTGTCATCGTTGCCATCGCTCGCCGGCCGTTATGTCGGAAGAATTGGCACTGTAGCCATATGGCATTTGATGACTATGAAAATGTTTCAGATTCAGATTGAAATGCGCCGATGACATGAACAACATCGTCGACCGACGTTCCACTTGTCCATTGAACTTTTTGGACGAAATGAATGCACCCGGAGGAGGAATAATTTCTCTCAAAGAACGCCTAGCCTCACTTAATAAGGTAACCTAATCGTTTTACTACTTTAGTTACTCAAAAAAACTAGTCAGTCACCGATTTCAGAGCGCGGAGAATTGGCAGACACGCGTGAAAAAGGATGAAGTGATCCTTAAACGGTGTTCGATGCCACCGAGACCTCGTCCAGTGCGCACTCAACTCGGAAAGGAGAACGAGGAACATGCCGTCGTCGTGAAGTCAGGTAGGCTCGCCCTATCATGAAGACCCTTTGGTCTACTCGGGTGGAGATACCGATGAGAATTTCCAGTGAAGAGACTCGCATAGGGCAGAGTCGTGTGGATAAGGCATCTCGGCGCGATTGGGGAAAGTGGGATGCGTAAAAACAGAAACACAGCTATTTCTTGAATCTATTGGTTCGAAAATGAGTAATGACCCGGTAGGAGCCCTTAGATTTTGGACTTTAGACTCCTGATCGGAATTAAAGAACATGAGAAATGCAGTTACTTGAGACTTCGTTTATTTCCCAGCGCAGAATATAAAAAGTCTATAAATGAGCCCGTCCCAGCATTAATGAGTGCTCCAAATTCGGGAAAATGAAATGTTTTATTACTGATCAAGTTTTTGAATATCTTATGCGTTGCGAAAAAAAGTAATAATCCTTACTAATAACTGATGATTGCTATAAAAAGCGCTCAAACTTTGATCCAATTATTTTCGCTATTGAACCACATTTCTAGCTGGAGGGACGTGGAAGAGGGGAGAGGGGGAAGGTTCTGGAGCTGTCACCTCAGTTACTAGAGCAGTTGCAGATACTAAACCGATACCTAGATACTTTCTTGTTAAATGTCACAGGTGTAGGCGGGGATTGAATTTAGCTTTTTTAAAGTTTTTGTCAAGCTTAGCGAAGTTTCCACCTTTCCTGGGTCGTTTAATTGATACCAAACTTGTTTGGAAGAGTAAAAGTACTGGTTCCCTGTACTGAGTTTGGTTCTTATTGACTGGGCTCTGCAAGACATAGTATAAGCCTCGTATGCATTCAAAGATCTCTAGGATTTTCAATGGATGCCGGCTGCGAGGCGCATCCTAAAAAAGGGGTTGATCATTGTCGGAAGACTTTAGACTTTGAAATACTTATATACACTACCGCTCCCATGCTAAACACATTCTGCCCATTGAGCCTCCGTTTTCCGTTGAAACTCCACCCGTCATGGAAGTGAGTCGAATTGATATACGATCGCAGGTTGCATAGTTTGCCGAGTCGGCTACGATTCACACGTACTTCTGCCGACGTTGTCATGGTGAGGGTTGAAAAGTCAGTGAAGTCCGTAGAGAATAGCGGTAATGCAGATAAGGAGTTCCCCCGAGGGGCTTCGCATCGGATCAAAGGCCGCACTTTTTTCCTCTCCTATGCTTCTAAGTGGGTCTGAGTATTAATTGTCGCATAGATTAATATACGAATCTGAAATGATTGTCATTTTTCCATGAATCACTGTATTGGAATTCTATGGGAGTTCTACAGTAAAGTAATTGTGTCATAGTCTGTGGGATGGTGATTCACGTAAAGACCAAATTGGAATCTTTTTGGTTCCTCTTGAGTGTCCTGAATTGATGGGAGTGTCTCACTAGCGCTCAATTGCTAGAAATGTCTGTGTCAATATCACTGTCGTGGAACGTGACATGGAGGGATTGAAAGTTTTTCATTCCAAACATGTATATTTACTCGGTGAAATTGGAAATAGTTCAATGAAATTTGGCCTCAATTAGTGGTTTCTTTCGACTGATTGCAAAAATTAGTAAAAAATTAAAAAATAGTGACGACTACTGTAATGCAGTCAGTGGGCATTTTTCCTTCGGCGTCCATCGGGACCACTCGGCCCGGCCGCTGGCCGGCGGGGCGACCACCAGAAGTACCTTGGAAACATAATCTTTCGCCAATTTTTCGAGCTATGCTTAGTGGAAAATGATAGAAAACGACGTTCTTCGGCCTCTTTCTGAATGCGCCATGTATGAGATCTGCATTTGGAATTTTACAGATATTTCGATCCGCCCCCCGTCGACTGTCTTCGCGGGTTTAGTGATATCAATCTGGCAAGGCAGAATTGTTAGGCAAGGAGCTCCGAAACCAATCGAACTATTGAGCTACCCCCTCCCCTCTGAGCAGTAATAATCCAGAAGCCCGTCATTCGCTGACCACTTATTTTTTTCACTGTAACACTCTGTAAACATTGGATTGTCAAAGTTTTCAAAAGAAAGCTTTTTCAAGAAAAAAAAGTAAGAAAAAAAGTTTTGGTCTAGATGAGAGTGGTTGGCGATGTGTTTGGCTAAGCGTTATCAAACGATCGTATACATTTTCGAAGATGATACCTCGTTATAATACATTCGCTACGCTAGACGCTGAAGATCCTTATCTCAAACTGGAGAGGCGAGCTTGTACAGACGGTTTTTCAAATGCCAAATACAATGTCGGCTGGCTTAGCGCTTGAAATGTATACTTAGCGTAATTTTGAGTTCCACCACTCCATTGCGCACAGCTGAAGAGGGTGCAGGGTGGTGATGAGGTCTGCAATAGGGTGGTGTGAGATCTCTGTGAAGGGTCGCGGCACCTCCTGATCACAGAAACTATAGTTGCCATCGCCATTCCAGCTTGTGATTGACCAGTGTTGAACTCGAATACTTCCAAAATTCAAAGGAAGTTTTTTAGAAGTAACCGTAGTTAGGATAAGAATAGGCACCATCACAGTCACAGGCATGCTTCAACCTTCCTGGGCCAGCACACGACCCATATCGCCCGGTCTCGCATGAAATCAACTCAGATGAAAATTATGTGGAATGAGTACCTGCTCTGCAGCTCATTAGGCGAATGGCTACCATGGAACATGCATTTGACACTGGTGAATCTTGATTCTACAGTTGCTTCATGGCTTGATGACACCTCTTCCTCCACAGTTGAATGGTTTGGCTGAGAGGAAGGTTGACGAGGACTCGATATTTTGGATTTTCATTGATTGCAGTTGTTCGTCTGTGCTGTCCAAACAAATAGTCAGTGGAAACAGGCAGACCCCTGGCTACAATTACCACTTATTTAGTGCCGAGTTACGCCATCCCCTCGCACGCGGCTCCGAAACTTATTTGGTTCTTATCCCGAATTTTTGGATCACTGAACCTTGCATCCCTTGTTATCGCTCGAATAGTACTGGTCTACTCGAGAAGGGCTTTCCGGTGCAGGTTAAAAAATTGACCTTTTCTTAAGATATTGTTTCGGCTGTGCATTTGAAGATTTTTGGGATTCCGGGAAAGAAAACTTTTTGAAACCAACGTGTTCTAGCGGCGTCCACGCCAAGTTTAGTTGACATTTGCATAATCGGCATTACCATAGCCATCGATTTTTATAGGAAAATAATCGACCGTTTTTAGTTCGGCAAATTGTTTCTCAGAGTTCAATCAATTATTCATTTTCGTTTCATAATAATTTGCTATATCGATGTAGCGATATATAATAAAACGAAATATCAATATAACCATAAAGTTTATGTGTTTGCTATAAATTTTTTCCCATGCCATGTTGTCGACAATTCATGTGGTCACGAACGAAACTTTAACGGAAGATAATAAGACCAAGGAAGCACAAGTACGGGTTAGAGTCCCGTCCGAGGCGGCAGTTTTGTCGCAAGTCGCCAATCCTGTGGAATTTTCGCTTCGCGTACTGCGGCGAAATAATAGCGGTTAACAAACATCAAGTGGGAACTTGAACTCGCTTTAGAGCTTATTGGATACCTTGCTTATTCAATACGCTACGTTCTATTCGCAGAGAACCGTAAACGTCTGACTACGCCTCCTCCAGTATTCTCCAGAAAATCCTAACCTTCTAAGGGCTGAAAAGTCAACGAGTATGAGGGCGGAGGTACCGATAAGATACGATGCTTTTCTTGAAATGATTGGATACGGCGTCTACTCCACCCCTCCCGCTCTAATGTAAGCGTACCCTCCCACACCGAAGTGGGCTACTCTTTTCCCACAGCTTTTTTACGGCGGACCGACACTAGCATGGTTTGTATAGAAAGAATGTTCACAGAGGAAGTACACTCTCGTAACATGGCTGCTCAAAACATTGTATTTTCAATTGTGCCAAGAAGGAATCTTCAAGGGGAAAGTGAACTGAAACTGATATTTCCTGATACTAAAGATTAGTGGAATTAAAAGGATTTGCAACTGACATTAGCCTGTGGCGACAGCGGATTTTGTCAGCTTGAGCGGTGGATCCTTGGTTAATGAGGATGGCGATTCCGTCAAGAGAACAGGCAGTTAAATAAAAAGATTGATTCACTTGAACTCTAACACAAAAAATTGTGTTCACAAGCAACTATGTCGAGGTTAAAGCAAGTGAGAGAAGGAGATTAAAAGAGTTCCTTTTGTCTCAGAGGTGATTCTTATTCTTGTAACTGCCATTTGAGCCTCCAGCATTATTGAACTTTCGAATTCCTAATTAGGTAAACGAATTTTGTAATTATTCAGCGGCACCCATGTCAAAGCAAAGCCTCCTACTCAATCTGGACAAAGGACTCGATTCGTTTTTTCTTCGAAATACTGCAGTAATAGCAGAATCTGTTGTGAAAGAACTCGATTTGAATTCGATCGAACAAACTAACATGTGAGTTTTCTGCTGATATGGAATTAAGTGTTTTTATCATAAAAATGGATAAGGTTATGATTTATTTTATGTGAGGCCGTGAGAGACGAGCATCAGGGACGCGCGCGGTTGCAGCGCGGCGAGGGTGATCTGACTTGGTCCTTTTGCTTTGTCATTAGCGCGGCGTCTCTAGAGCATTCTCCATGGTGTGGTACCGGCCAAAACGGATAGTTCTGTTCATCGAGTTTCTAACTCCGGCATTATCATCGACAGCACCGTAACCGCGCGCGTCCGAGATAGTCACTTCTGAATGCGACATCGTTGGTTTCAGACTCGATACACCAAAGCGACCTCGACTAAGAAGAACAAGCAAAACCCGTCGGGTCGCTACTGAACGAATAACAACACTTGATACTACGTCTATAAAAATCGAGGAGGTAAACTGTTAGGTTTTAAACTTAGCTTGAAGGAGAGCCATTTCTTTGCAGGACCCACGTGACTTCATAGTGGCACCTGTGATAATCGATGAAGGTGGACCAATTGCTACGAGTGCTCGACAAGGCCTACAGGTTAGCAGACCTACCAAATTTCGTGAAATGTTTCATTCCCTCCTTTGTGTCCCGAAACATTGCATTCGTGACGCAGGAGTTGAAGTAGGGGGAACGTTGCGTCGCGACCGCTCGCGTCGTTGACCAGCTAGTGCGGACGCCTTGCTATTACGACTTTATGTTCCAGGCTAAAGAAGACTACACATCAGTGAAAAGTACCTTGAAGCATGCGGACCCGACGTCGCCGTATCCACCGGTTATGCTTATTCGAGTCGCAGGTTAGAGTTTCCTATTCAGAAAATTTTCCGTTTTTCCGGGACCGACTCACGGGTTCTGGAACCGGCACAATTTAGTGATAAAAGCAAAGTGTTTAGGAGAGAAGAGAGTCGATGTGAGATTGGTGGCCCCACTAGCCTCGTCCATCCATCAGAATGCCGTTTTCATACTAGTAACGCCGACGAGATTGATCAAGTATGAGGGAGAAAACAGTAACATCCTAGAGAAGACAAAAGTAAGCACAGGCCTTACTCCATATGAAAAATTAATTTTTAAATTTAATTTTTTTAGGCCACTCAAATATGTATACACATAACGACCAAGTCGGATTTGTTTTGTACTGCATCGAAAGCAGAAAACGTATCAGGTAATTGCTTTCTCTTGTAGATGAGTTGTGTTGTGAATTGCATCGATCAACTGGAGCGTGCCATATTGATCCATTGGACACGCCGCGCCGTGACCGCGAGCGTCTCTTCGTGTTGGCCACGTGGGACTCGTGAATCGTTA